AGCCGTGGAAAGTCAAAAGGTAGAGAGGATATTGTAAAAAAAAAGTTCGAAAATATGAAAAGCGTTTAACGTCGGCCTCTAACGAGTGTGGCTGTTGGATATTTTTTTACAAAAACAAAAGTAACTGGTACTGTATTTTCCGTTACAGTTACTCAGTAAAAAAGTAACAGTGTTACAGTTACAAGTTTCTCTAAATTAAAAGTAACTTGTTACAGTTACAAGTTACTGAAAAAAGTAACTAGTTACCGGTAATGCATTACTAGTAACTAGTTACTGCCCAAGACTGCGTCTGGTCTTCACTCTCCTTTTTGCTTTTTCTTCTATCTCTTAAGCTCACAATGTTGGCATGTTCTCGCACAAACACTAGCGTACTCATCATCGTATTTCTGTTCTGTCACATCACGCGCTGCGGATTTTGCGTGTACATCACAAATGCCCCCATTCAAGTCATTTGTTTGGCAAACAACATGAACAAAAGGTGATGAACGTGCGCGCCAGCCAAGAACTACAGCAAACTCGATACGACTGGGAAAAGTTCAAATACCACATCACTGCACCACCCTGTAAACACGCTCAAATGTCCAGTGTAAATATGCAGAATATCTGAATATTTCTTCTTGTAAGACATACATTGCAATGCATAGTTTAGGTGCGTCCCGAAGTAATCCATCAACACACCTTAGATGGTAGTACACTTCACCTAACATCACTATGAATAAAAAAGTGCTTTTTGTTGCTAGTTAGATAGAAATAAGCAGCCAGTCAGTTGAACAGGACATTGAAGTTCTTCCATCCCACACAGAATGAATGGCGCATTTCACGTACAATGATGCCAATAGTATCATGCATGCACGTTTGAACCTCTGAGGGAACAGATGCAGGAGGACAGCCTATTGAAACGCCTTGGATCCATTGGAAAACAATGCAGCCTTCACCTGCAATGTATTACACTTAGCACAAAGGTTTTTAAATCACGCACACCTCTGTAAAACCATTCTCCACCCGTTCTTCATCGCATGCTGACAGTGACTTAGAGGATAAGATATCAATGCATTTCCATTCCACAAGAAAATGGGTTCTAGCTTGTGTGATATGACGGAAGGCGCAATAGCTTCCTTGTTGCTGGACATCAATCGTGCTTTCTTGCAGCTCATCATTCCAGCATCGGTTAAACTCTCTCCCACCTGAATGCTTTCCAGGCTCTCCAACTAGCCCATTAGTACTGGTCTCCTCCTCTCGAAGCAAAACACTACTCTCTATATTTTCATCTCTCTCCCTTCAAAAATGTTCACCCTCATTTAAGGTGAGTTATTTCTGCAGTTAACAGCCAAGCACAGGTCATCTGCTGCTACAGCATAGGGTCCTCTTCCAATAGGTTTGATGCTGTTAGGCGGTCGGACCCGAGTGTCGTACTTTGGCATTACGTTTCACGTGTTGAAGCTACGGGCGTCACGTGGCCGTCAACTGCCGTCGTCTCCTGCGCTTTGACATGGCAAGCGTCAAGCGCACTCGCAAGTTCCCAGGAACCTGTGTTAAGCTCCCTGAATCTGCCCACTCAGCACCGTATCTCGTCACCATGGCTCAGCACTACACCTCGTTCAACACAACACTCAAGTCAGTGAGCCTGGGTCAACCTACAGCGCATGACTTTTTTGTGAGGTTGAAGACGCTAATTGGCCAGTGCGTGTTTTTTATGTGTTTGAATAGCTCCTTTTAGTGTGCTTCTTTCTTATGTTCATTCTGGCAGTGGTGACGACGGCAGTGAATCTGGCCTAATTGCTGTTGGTTCTCGGTGAAGGATAGTGCTCAGTTAATTCAGGTATCCTCTGTGGTTTTTCTTTGGCATTTCCGTTGTTGCCACTGTCATAGCGTGTTTGTTCTGTGTTCTGTAAAATGCTTTTTTTGTACTCTTTGCTTGGCTACATAGGTGTTGTTTGATATGGCAAACAACATTGCAAAGGTGAAAGAGGCTCTAAAGGCGGAAATTCATAAACACAGCGATGAATTCAAGACATCTAGGGAATCGCCTGAGGGAGACTTGACCAAAAAATCATGACCCAAAGCCTCGAAGTCTCACACGGTGCTATAGAACAACTCAAGAAGAGTCTGGAAGCAGAAATTACCAACAACGCTGAGTCGAAGAGCGAAAACGAGACTTTGGGAACGAGATGTAAATTACTTGAAGTGCGCACGTGTGAACTTGAAAACGCATCACGAGTCAAGAGCAGTACTCGAGAAACCACCACATAGACATTAAGGACATTGAAAAGCACGAAAATGAACGGGTCAGTGATATTGTTTCACAGATTAGTGCAGCTATTGGTTAGCCGATTGTGTTTTCGGATATCGAGTCTTGCCATCGTGTGTCTAGAAGAGATCCCGATAAAACAAACATTATCCAGGCCAGATCTCGTGCGAAACGTGATGTAATTCTAAAGAAGGTAAAAAAGACTTGCAGATCGGACTGAACAGCCCAAATGCCATTTTCGTTGATGATTATTTGTGCCCTTCACTGAAGTTGCTTCTAGGCATGGCTTCAAGATGGGAACAAGAACATAAGTGGAAATCTGTTTGGACATTTGGCGGCAGGAGATTTGCAAGGCAATCTTATGGCGCTGCCATGATTCAGGTAGCTGACGTGGCTGACTTTGATAAATATCACTAGTGTGAGGGTTAAACTTGTTCATTGCTACTCTGAAAGCAAAAATCTGTCAAAGTGGATTGTCACGAATTTGCCTTGCCTCGCCATAATACCCCAGTCAGCAGAAATCTTCTTTCACTTCTGCACACAAATGCATGCTTGGCTGTTTCTAAGCATGAAGAAATATGTGATTCTGTCATCGAACTTGACTGGAAATTTTTTGCTATACTGACGACAGAAACATCGTAAAGTGATGGATGTATCACACTAAGTTTAGCCGGCTACAATAATTATTTTCAAATTAGGGCAATGCAGCGAGGTGGTGGAGTTACTGTCTATGTCAAAGAAGGTCCAACTTATATCTTAGTACCAGATTTTTTGCAAAACTGCTGATTATGAAATACTAACACTGCAGGAAAACACAAGATTTATAACCATCGTATACTGTCCTCCTCGTTGTAGCACACATTTTTTTTCTCTTTTTGAAAATTTTTTAGATTATATCTCGGTAAACAGTTTTCATCTAATTTGTGGCAGTGACTTCAACGTAAACATTTTGCGGAGAACACGCAAAGCGACCGATATTCAAACAATTCATAGCTCTGCTGGTTTTACTATTGTAATCAGTAGTACTACTGGTGTGACACTTGCTACGGTGTCAACACACAACGTGATTATCATGAACGGTGAAAACACAGTACTACACGCAGGAACATTAGCATCAGGTATAAGAGATTACTGCCCTGCATTTGCTGCATTTGATTGCATTATTACTGCCAAAAAACACCACCTCAAGCCTCTCGCTTTTCAGTATGTATCTCAAACAGCCTTGCTGTCATTCGGGCATGAAATCAGTAAGTGTGATTGGTCACATGTCACGCAAAGCAGAAGATGCAAATGAGGCTTATTGCATATTTCTTGAAATCTTTCTGTGCATCTACGCTAAGCACTTTCCATTCAAAACCTGTAAACAATCTAAAAAGATAAGAAAATCATGGGTAAAATGTGCACACCAACATATGATATAAAATAAAAACAAGCTCTATCATCTATTTCTGTGCACACAATGCCTGTCACAGCTAACAGAATTCGAGTCCACCACAAAATAGGTTGAACAGTGAGCTTAAGTGTGCTAAAATTACTTATTTCTTTTTCACAAATATCACAAAGAAATGCCCAGATGCTGCATGGAAGGTAATGAACTCTGTTTTGGGCCGTGAAAAAAAAAAAGAGTATAACTACAGAAAGCTTTTTAGTTGATGTTAATCGTGTTACTGGCACTATGATGGCTGAACAATTTAATGCATAGTTTGTGAATGCTGCCATACCTGATTGTAAGAGGTAATCTGGAAACATGTCGCATACTCAATTTTTGGAATACAGTGTTCGTGACTGTTTTTAATTCCAGTGGATGAAGATGAAATCGTTATAACGTTCTAGAACCTCAAGAGCAGCATAGCCTTAGTTATAAAAACATACGGATAAAGCCAGTAAATTACGTGATTGCCTGCGTCTCTTCTGTGCTAAAGCATGTCTTCAACCTTGCACAAGTTTCTGCTATCTTCCCCGAAGAAATCAAGAAAGGAAGAGTTTCCATAATACATAAAGGAGGTGCATGAAAAACTACAGAGCAATATTTGTCCTCCCAGTTTTTTTCAAAAGGTTTGGAAAAAATTATCTCTAATTGGATAACACATTATTTTTCTAGCAAGCTTATTCTATCAGATTCGCAATTGGGATTTCGGAAGGGAAGGTCGACTGAAACAACCCTACTAACAATCGAAGAAATCATAGTACAGAACATCGATAACAGACTTTACACACTAGGCTTGTTCATTGATTTTTCCAAGGTGTTCGATTCGTTAGTCATGATATTTTTGCGGACAAGTTATTTGCATAGGTATTCGTGGGAAATCATTAGACTTATTTAAATCTTACTTGCACAACCGCCAGCAATTCATATGTCTGCAGGGTTCAAAATCACCATTTCTTTCTATATCAAGATGCTTGCCACAAAGGAGCATTTGAGGACCCCTCTCATTCAGTTTGTACAGAAATGACCTTGTATATATCGATAAATTTTGCAAAATTTGTCGTGTATGCTGACGGCACCACCATACTATTTTTGGGGCCTAATGTGAGTGATCCAGTTTCTAAATGCAACAACACACTGTCAATGCTGTCAACATAGTCCTGACCTAAACGAATGAAACATTAACCCAACAAAAAATAAGATTATTATATTTCATGCAAGAAGTAAAGCAGTGCAAATATTAAACCCTATATCATATGAAGGTCAGAACATTGCTGTGGTAGGCAAACATAAGATACTCGGACTTACTTTTTCCTTTCACCTTAGTTGGTACTCGCACGAAGAACAGTTATGTAGGCGACTGTCTTCAACCACTGGAGCGTTGTCACGATGACAACACCTGCTTCTGGCAAAGGTAAAACTTCAAATATACTGTGTGCTGTTCGCATACCATCTGAATTACTGCAATCTTGTTTGGATAAACAGAACTTAAATAAAATCTTGTTTCTGCTAAAGAAGATTCTTTGACATATTGCAGGCATTCCTGACCTGGCCTCAACCTCAACTAGAAAAGTCTTGCAAGAACAAGATGTAATAGTACGAGTTCAGCACTTATACAAATTCCGGGTCTTACAAGTGTTCTACTTTTCCGACACTTATAAAGAATTCCTGGCAACCATATCTCACCTGCAACTAAATGACTCTACTCTGTGCGCGCGATATAATTTATATTGGTTTTATTCTGAGTTATCAAACCACCTACAACTTACAAGCGCTGCACTATAATTTACCATTCATCATAAATAAATATGGTAGCCTTACTACTGCTGCGCACCAGCAGTTGCAAATTTTTTGCGGCTATGTTGTAGCTCTCGCGTTCATAAGCGTTGATGCTGAAAACTGTTGCCTAATTTGTTATTTATTATTTCTATTTCATGTTTTATCATCTTTACGTGATATGTCATTCTGTGAAATGAGGTAGTTCCTCTAAACACTTCATGTTTAAAAAATGTCTTTACTATTTGTTTTTTTATCTTACAAAAGCAATACCCTTTTTATATTATAGACTTGTCATGCTGTACTAAACATTTAAATGCAAATTTCATGGCGACTAATGCATACTATTTCTATCAATTGCTGTAATCCTTATAATAACTCTTTTTTGCATGTGTTTGAGTACAACTTTGTATGCCCATTTGTATTGCAAACATCGTATGCTGCCAATCTAACAGTTTTCAGGGACCAAGTCAAGCTGCCTAAAGCAGCTTTCAGCCTTAAGACTATCCAGAATTTTTCGGTGAAATAAGCTTTGACCTAAACTCCTTCAAACCTGCAAGCAACCTCGTTGTTTGTTGGGACCATTCATGCTGTCTCCCTTATTTAACCTAATACTCCTACTTGAAGCCTGTGAGGTATTTGCAAATAAAATAAATATAAATAAATAAGAACCACGCAGTTCTTAATACAGTTGTGCACATTGGAAGTACATGTGGCATAGATGGAAACATTTATCATCTGTCTACTTGAAGGACCTCTGACACCAAATATAAAAACTCCAGATGCTTGTGTTATTTGAGAGTTCTCCATGTGGGGCCACTTTTGACAGATTATTAGGGATGAGCGTTGCCTCTAAGTTATGTTAATTTGGTTTTAAAGTTAGGGTGCGTGCTCATCCCAGTATTCATGTGCTATCGACATTTTCCGTGGTTTGACGTAGATAGTGGATCTCGTCAGAACATTGCAAAGGTCAAGCATGTATTGTTCATGTCAGAAAACACTTACGGGGCTTGCACAATACCACAACTGGCATCCCGGCGAGGACTATTGTTTATCACCCGTCTCGCTAGGTTGTTGGGCTGGTCTCATAGTGGTTTTGGCTGCTTAAACCAGGAACGCTGTTCATTTCCTTAGGGGAAAACGCTCAAGGCATCTATATCATTTTCTTTTTCACCACCCACGGGTCCGTTCACAGCATGTTCAGTTCCACCGAAGCTTGCGCGCACTTAGTTTCATGCATTGACCCGCTCTAGGGGGCTAGTTTCTTATAGTATTTAGGCGGGCATTTCGAAATAACGCAAGCTCGTTTGAAATTAACGGCGCTAGCATAAGTTGCACGATGCGTTAGAGCATTTACGGTTCAATTTCGGCATTACCGTATGCAAAGCTACAAATCGCTGTAAAAAAGTTGAAAACGAAACTTTGCTGTAGGACGTCCTTCAACTCCTGTCTAGATTGTGAGCCTTGCGTGTTCCCTCTATCTCAGCAGATATCCGTCTAATTTCCTCCCGTGCTCTACTGCTTTCCTTCTATCGTTATCCTTTCTCTTTCCATAATAGACCACATTTTATTCATTCTATGCATTAACTTTTTCGTTACCACGGATATTTAAATAGATCACAGGTGATCGATGCTTTCGGATCGTTTATTTTGGCATCTTAAACTTGTTTCTCGTGCACCCAGCACTTTCTAGTAGTTAGTGCAGCCACTCAACATTCAGAATTAATTAGGATTTGCCCATTTTGTCCACATTGTGATTTTTAAAAGACCTTTGCGCAAACCAATGTGCGTGTATTGTTGGAAAAGTGCACTAGTCTGGTGAACTTCACAGAAGTCCGTGGTACCCCTCGTGATCATGCTACAGTAACATCGAAGTTCTGTAATGAAAAGAATCTTTGCAAGCCAAATATTGAATTAAAGTGTCAGTTTCGTAATTTGACTATGTTGAGCAGTAATAATTGCCTAAAATATATGGCAGCTATTCATTAGAGAGCTGTTCCTAGCAGTCAGAGAAAATCTGTTCTACAAAAATATTTTTATCGTAGAACCTTTTATCGTAATAGGAGTACGCTACGCCAGTGTGGGACCCTGCCCCCTTATACCTAATAATGCTCTATAGATGGTTCAGAATGACTCCACACCTTTCATTGATGCTAATTACAGTTGCACCGTCAGTATGACTTCTAAGAAATCAGACCTTCCCCTCCTGTCATTATCATTGCACAGAGAAGTGTCGGGCATTGCTTTGTTCCATAAAATAAATCATCATCCTGCACTATGCGATTGTCTCGTCCCTCGATCATCATATGTATGCGATTGCATTGACCATCGTTACAAAGTCCGATTTGCTTCATGTAATAATGTTTATTTTCGTCAATCATTCTTGCCTCAAAGTTGTCAAGATAGGAATGACTCTACATTGTAAAGATTACGTTTACATTATAAACATAACCATTGTAACGAATGAGACAGACAGCACCCTTGCTGCGGGCCGGCTGTTCTTTTTCAAACTTCAATCTCCTCTTCCTTTCACTAGCCGAGCTTGTGCCAGTGCAGCTGCGCCGACCTTGCTTCCTTACTCCATTATGAACATTTCCGAGCTGGTTTAGATATGCCACGTGGCAACATTTCTAAACCAGCTGCTCAATCGCTTCTGTAGGCCAGCATCGGCTGTTTCCTGTTGGTTCAGTCACGACCATACAGCGACTTGGTTCGATGATGTGTCAGCAATGTCTCAGGTGGTCTGCCTTGGCTGTGAAAATACAGAGGGTCTCGGCCACGCAGAGATTTGATTTCATAAGCTGTGAAATAGGCTTCTGGTAGATGGTCTTCCCAACGATGCAGCTTGTGTGGATATTCTTGCAGGGATATTTCCGGCGGGTGGCATTGACTGCGTTGTGGTGGTCGGACTTGTGTATGCCTCTTGACTTGTCTAGCTGAGTTGCCGCACTTTCTGGGGGGCATCTTTGGCTTTGACGGAGTGGTGGCTACAGGTTTCCGTTGCGCTGCAACTTTCCTTGCCTCGCTTGCAAAGATTCTGGGGGGCAACATTGACTGTGTGGCAGCGGTCGACCTCAGCCATGCAGCGATGTCATGTCAGCGGTGGCGCATTGCAGATGGTGTACTCTGTCGAGTCGGTGAGCACGGCAATGGACTTGGTTTTTTTTTCGGGGCCTGTATTGCAGGCGCGCCAAGCACGACAGAAGCCGACACCAGTATGTGTCACTGCGGTGACGAATCTGGCGCCCGTTCTTCCAACAGCTCCGGATGAGGTTCAACGTCTTGTGTTGAAAGGCTCTCTGTTATGTGTCTCGAGGACACCAATAGGCAATGAAGGAAATTTTCCTTATGAGCTGGACGTCCGATGGAAGGCAGGTTGGACGCCCGAGCTGCATCTTCGAAGTGGCGTGGTTAGAAAACGCTTTTGGTGCTAGAGACTCCGCTGGCAGGCAAGGTGTTACTGGAATCGAAAAGCGGGCCAAAGAGGCTAGTCAACTTGGCACGCTATTTTGACCAGGACAGTTGCCGGACGCCTTTGGTCTATGGTGATTACCCATTTCCAGCATTCCGGCCAGGCATGGAGAGCGCCGAGCGAGTCGACTGGTCTCAATCCATCCGAAGACGGATTGAAAACCGTGGAATTCCGGTATCGCCCAAATGGCTGATGATGGCAAAGTGGTTGGGGAGCCCCCAAAGTTCCAACAGTGCCAAACGGTGTAGTTGCTGTGATAGCTGCGTGAGTACACCGAAGAGCTCCGCGTCGTTATTGGTGAAACTCTTGACAAGCCCTGGGTGGTGTTCCCAAGCATACCAGCTGTGGCTGGGGTATTCACAGGGGCAGTCACAGGACGAGCAGGAAAAAGATACTAAGCTACCAAGTGGTGCGGGTAATCTGCGCTGGATCGACGGGTGGGCCTCCCGGGAAGCCCTTGGCGACTGCTGCAGAATATGTGGTCGTCGCAGCAGTCAGTGCGGCGGCAATGACCTCGATCGTGAGAGCGGAGTATGCAGCGGTCTCGAAACTCACGATGGAGGGATTCATTGCGCGTTACACGTGGATGGCGTCCCTTCTCGTGGAGAGGTATACAGCCAGGAGAAGTCAAGGAGGCCTTAAAGCCGTCCCCGAATGGTGGTGGCAGCGGTGGCAGGTGACGAGGAGACCTTGACGGCTGCACGTTGGCGGGTCCCTTGAACGAGGAAGCCCGGACGTAAGACTTTCTTTGTCGGCTGCCCATTGTAATGAATGTTACAAGAGCTAGCACCCTTTCTGCGGGCCGGCTGTTCTTTTTCTAACTTCAATCTCCTCTTACTTTCACTAGCCGAGCTTGCGCGAGTGCACCAGCGCCGACCTTGCTTCCTTACATCATTATGAACATTTCTTTAATTTTGTAGCTAATATTACATACTCAAGCTCTTTCTAACATATTGTACCTTTTCATTACTTGTGTATTTTGTGTTCCTTTTCTTATTTTTTGTGTGTGTATGCTTTTACCACTCCCCCTCTGTAATGCCTCTGGCCCTGAGAGGTGTAATAAAATGAAATCTGCATCTGTATAGTTTTCCACCTGCATGGTCCTTTATGACCACAATATACTAATGACCGCAGTAATAAATAAATAAATAAATAAATAGGACAAGGACATCAACACACTCCAATGACTAAGCAGAATATATGTGAAATGTTTCATCGAAAATGTACAAGTCCCTAACACATGCTACTAAGGAACTAACATACTCACACTTATCGCAATATACATGACGGTGTATACGTATAATTAGACATGACCTGGTGAGCATGCCAGATAATTTAGACAACCAATGCTATGGTGCGTGTAATTTGCATAGTTTCCTGTGTAATCCTCAATTCATCTATAGCTATTTTCACGCACGTAAGAGAGCAAGTTGTAATTAACAAATATTACTCTACTTTTACTGATGTCACTTGGTACCACAGGGATTCGTTTTGGGTCCTATTTTTTTATTTATATGTGAATGATCTACCACAAGCTCTTAAGTTCACAAAAGTTTTAATGTATGCTGATGACACAGCGTTACTTTACGCAGGTACTTTCTTCACTGCAAGACATTATGTTGAAACAAATGGCAATGATAAATAAGAAGCTCACAGAAAACAGGCTAGCCATAAATACTGAAGAAACTCAATACATCGTATTCTACTCATGCAAGAAAACATCAAACTACAGCAGCCTTAATATTTCTATGGCCAACCAAACTCTGAATAGGGTCAACACATTTAAATATTTTTAGGAGTTTTTTTTTGCCATCACTTGCATTGAAGAGACCAGATCGATGCTGCGTGTAGAAAACTAACTTTTAGTGGTTATGCACTGGTCTGTTCCCACCAGTATTGTCCTCATTTTCTGCTTTGTTGCTTTGGACTGACTGCTGCCGTGGACTGATTGATAAGTATGCAGAATGAACGCTTTGCAATTTGCTGGCAAGAGAAAAGAGACCAGCATCGTTATGTTGCAACTTTCTATTCTGTGCTTTTTAGCACTACTATGCACACCCAAAAACGGTCAAGGTAGAGAACAAACTAAAAAAGAAACAACGGACGTTTAACAGGAATGCTCTGCCTTCGACCAGTAGAGTGGGAGCTACATTTGTGATCTTGTCTTTTGTACACTGGCTACCTCATTCCAAAGGAGCAGGAAATTAATCGGCACAGGTTTCTCTGCGAGTAGAGTACTTGCACATATGCATTGATGATGTAAACAGTGACCACATGCTGGGCACAAACACGGCATGCGAAAATTTGTAATGCAATTGTAATGTGTGATTGAAAGTGTAGTGTTATTTCTGGACACCGCCTATAAATAAAAAAAAAATGTCCCTTTCAGGGCGCAATGAACGTTGACATCAAGGTAGAGCGGAGCAGCCCTCCAACTTTACCACCTCCAGTAAGTGAAGTCGGCTTCTGCAATTTGATACTTTTTACTCCTAGCAAAGTATTTCAGTGCTTTTCTGGCCACGAAACTCCTCTGTGACGCTTTGAGATGACCTTGCCATTACGCCGCAGCGGCTCCGGGGCGGTTCTGGGAGCTTGTAGTAGGAGGCATTGAGGAGATCTTCACTGCATAGAGGGAGCTGGGGGCCCGAAAAAATCCGGCAAATCCACCTTCGGTTTTCCTCATTTTTCTGAATTTATGCGACTGATGACTATGAGAACTGCATGCAAGGACATGGCTAGTGTACATGAATGACAATGTCCCCAAGACATGCTGTGTACCAGGTTGTCGCTCCAACCACAGATGTATGAGCGAACAGGTGTAGTTTAGTTTGCCTAGCGACAGCGATAAGATGGATGAAGGGGAACGTGCAGTACCGTGACAAAAAGCTGTTAGACTTACCTTCAATTTGGACACGTTAGAGAGTGCGATAAATATTTTGGCGCTACCAAAGTCGTTCGGACATGATTCGAACAGACAACTTTATAGTTAATGCTAGCTTTTTTTTAGGTCTTTGCCAGTTTCTTTTTAAATTCTTCTCTTGTTTGTGGTTGTTAGAGTTGTTTTCTATCTCGTTTGACTTAATGCAGAGGCGGAAGTGCTGCGCTGATTGCGCCATGCTGCGCCAAGCCACTTCTGCGACACCACCCTGCTCCAAAATGCATTATTGCGGCAAAAGCACTCTCACGTGGTCTTTGGTGCCTTAATGTGCTGTCATCTGCAATGCGGCAAACCAAAACCCGCTTCTACCGTCATCATTATAATCATCATCACTCACTCGACGCACTCTCCATGACTTTGGCCACTGCGCGAAACAAGCAGTCTCACTTCATGGGCGAAGCAAAACACGCGATATCGCAGTAATATTGCGTGGTACAAGCGTTAATTGCCATCAGGCGTCGGAACAAGCGATTATTGTGACTTCATGGTTTAAAGCGGGTCATCTACTACAAAAAGTACACAGGTTACTGTGCGTACTCTCTTACGACCACGTAGTGGGTGCACAGCAAGTTCAAAAACATTTCACGAGCATAATTGCGATTTGTTTAAAGCATGCCACCCATTACACAGGATGCAGCCGTATGTGACAGCTTCAGTGACACAAGCCAGTGTAAACGTTATTGAGTGCAGTGTAGTAATCCATGATTTAACCCTTCTCGAGTAACAGCTTACGATAAAAAGTATGCTCTAAGTGGTTGAAGTATGTACTAGGGAGAGGACATCACTGTGACGTAACACTTAAAGGCAAAGCTTAAGGGTTTTTCTATTTTTACTTCTTGCTGGAGACTGACAGATTGCATTAAAGTTCTGAATGTGCAAAAGTATCTGAGAGACCCTATGACGGCATCGAAGCTGGCAGAGGATCATCGTCGTGCGATTAATGAGAAAAATGCGAACAAAAGGGGCTTGATCTTGTTTAATCAAGATGAAAATAGAGCCAGTAGACATTTGCAATTTAAAAAAAAAAAGAAACATTTCTAAGATAAGTTCTTGCTCGTATAAATTGAGTATGTCCACTACAGTAGATTAGTGGCTACGTTGACGGCTACTGACCTAAATGTCGCGTGTTTTATCCCAACGGCTACAATGGCATTTCTATAGAGGTGAAATGGTTGAGGCTGTGTACTATGTGATGTAAGTGCACGTTAAAAAACGCCAGATGATTGAAATTTCCGAACCCTTCTCTACTGTCTCCCATAATCATAATGTGGTTTGGGTCGTATAGCCCCGCATATTGTTATTATTAATCTATAAATTAAGTACCCCAAATAAGTAGTCGATAGAATGGTGTTCTGGTAGCTTGAGTTGGAGCATTGCACGTAAAATGGTTTTGTGTCTGGCATATGGCCATTAGTTTTATTGCCTGCTTTCATTTCCTGTCTTCAGCATTTCATTCTTTATTTAAATCAAAAGTACTTACTTTCCCCTGTGCTTTCCTTTGTTATCATGCATGCTGTCAAGTTCGTAATGACTCTGTTTACTGAAGATTGTGCCCCATTCTCTGTAAAAACAGATCTACGTGACTAGATTTAGTGAAAGAAACTTGGACACAAACTTGGACATGAAATGGTATTTATCAGCGTGGGCATGTTGTCAATTTGTGTGGTTATTTCCCTACTCAATACTAATGAGTGAAGCAATCTTTTTCAGTGGTTGATATGTGTAGGCATCAAGGAAGAGCCAGTTATCCCTCCAACCACGGAATCTCTGGTAAGTGAAGTGCAGTTTGCTCTTTTGTATTTATTCTCACTTAAAGCCAATAACAGGGCATGGTAAGCTGATGTGTCGTATTATAAATATCATTCACTCAGAATCACTTAAAGAGATTGACTTGATTTTTCTGGACCCATGTTTCTACGGTGCAACAGAAAGGGCCGCCGCGGTAGTGGTTGAACAGCCTGCAGCTTTTGATCACAAAAATGCTTAGATGTTACAATTATAAGCAGGATTGTTTCATCTGAGAAGCATCTAAAAAAAGTTCCTTGCCCAGCAAAAGTGACAAGCGATACTTAATGTTCTGCTTTTACAGCAGCAAGTGCATCCTGCTTTGAACTTTATTTTCACTGCTGCACATTGTACGGATATCAAGAATACAGACAAAAAGCCACATAGCGGCTTGATGGGGTCTGTGTCCCTTTCTTTGCTGACGAGCAGGAGAAGGGTAAAATCAAAAGTACAGAGCATGAACAGGTTCACGTGCAGAAAAAAAAAAAAAAGAACTGTGGGCATAAAAGACATGGCTGGACATTTACTGATCCAAAGAAGCGTGTAACTGCAACTTTCAGAACGAAAAAACAGTAAAATAGAGGTCACTTAAAAGAGATTTTATCTTAAATGTCAAACTAATTGTTATGCAAAGTTTGAAATGTAGTACTATACACTTTCAATCCAAGAATATACAAATAGGCATTGTAAACATACAGGTATAATAAATAATCATTACTGGATACAATTAAACCTCCTTATAACGAACCTCCATATAAAGAATTCCTTGATATAGCGATGTTTTTATATTCCCCATCGTTGCTCCACAGAAGCACATGGGTTTGCGACCTCTATGTAACAAAGTAACAGCGGGAGACAACCTTGATATAACGAATTTTCCCCACGGACAATCTAGGAATGTCGCTTCACATATTGGCATTTTGATACGAGCGTGCATCTTCCGCGGCTGTGCCGCTGCTGAGGAAAGGCGAAGTGGCGGCGGTGCACACGGCGCACCAGGCAAGATCTAGCGTTCGTGGGTGAGCGTTAGGCGGGCAGGCGGGCCTGCACTCCACAAGCCAGCCTTGCTTCTCACCGCCTCGGGCGCATGCGCGGATGTCCCCCCCCCCAATCCAAACCAAAATAATAAAAGGGGTGAATTTCCCGTCTTTTGACCGGAACGATTGTGTTTAGTTGCCTGGTGCACAAAGATCACTTCGCTCGCTGGACAGGTGGGTGCTGTTTGCATAAAGAGTGCGCTTTTCAAACACAGCGAAGTAAGAACTCGGGCACTTGTTAGTTCGCACTTATATCTGAACCTGTGATTACATTTCGTGTCTCGTTTTCGTTTAAACAGCGCATTTAAGTGTCGAGCGGTGAATGTCGTTAGTTCGCTCTCGTTCTGTGTATGTTGTTTTGGTGCGTCATTTGTACTTGAGGTTTAAGTGTTGAGCGGTAAACGTCGTTAGTTTGTTCTCGTTCTGTGTATATTGTTTTCGTGCGTCATTTGTACGTGAGCAGCGCAATGCACGCTTCGATCTGCTTGCCATTCTCAGCATTACATTCAAAGTTGCTGCTGTTGCATTCATTGCTTCGCCCTTGCAACGAAGCTGTGACTTTTCTTAATTTCAGACAACCGTATCGTCACCATCGAGGGAATGTCAGATTAGGCGCTGATGGAAATTCTCCGAGACCACGGTGACGACGGACCTTTAAAAGTCAACTCGTCACGCGCTTCCGTCTCGCGCCGCGCCGCGAGTTCACAGGCTGGTAGCTTTTGTGATTAGCCGATTAGTTCTGGCAACACAACGGCATGTTGAAGGCAATGCAATGAATGCTATAGTAAAAACTGTAATGTTATAAGAAGTAAGGCAGGCAGCCAATTCTTTTGGATCCGATATCGCGGAACTCCTACAAAACGCCGGTGTGAGAAAATACGGCCACTCCAGGGAGAAGTGCTCTTTTCATACAGCCCCTTCGCATTGAAACCGCACTGATACTTGTCGAGATAGCAAGTGCGCCAGTAATCATGACCGCCCTTCAAATCCATGTTCATTATTACTACTTGAGTGATCCCCCCATTCCCGCATTTTTTCATGCTCGTTCAAGGTGGGTGGTTTACTTTCTGTTTGAGCATTCGACGGCAGTTCTAACGCGCGGGAGATGTTATCTTATGCACTTTTCCAGGCGATAAGGACGGGCCGACTCATTTGATTTTTGCTTCAGCAGCACTCGCGTGCTTTTACCCTCTCATGAAAGTTACGATACGTGGGTGCATGTTATCAATTTGGATTTGTTACGGAACATAGCGCCAACGGCAAAAACTGGCCGATAATGTCCATATAATTGCTGTTTCGATAATAACGCAGTTTTTTTTACTGTAAAGTAAGTGTTTTGGGTTAGCTCTGCCTTCAGTCCCCTTTTTGTTTAATTGTGCATTTATTTTCTGAATTTCTGTGCTGAACCTGCATATAATGAAATCCTCTTTATAATGAATTTTTCCAGAAAATATCCTAGTTTAACTGTATACAAAAGTTAAAAAACACGCCACCATGTACTCTTAACGTGAAGTGCATAGTCAGCGAGAACACAAGTACGAATAATATGTATGACTGGTACATGCACATTATTCGAGAGAAGAAGTATGGCAGTTAACGAAGACAGGTTCAGTAAAGATAGCATGACATAATGTAGCAGTTGGCTTTCATGATTTGTTTTACAATGTGGAACATACTAGATTTCTTCTTGACGTGTGCTGAGTGTGCTGAAATTTAATGTTAGCCTTCACAGATGCTCTAGAAAACCCATGCTATCTTTTCTTTCCATTAAAATTAGTCATGGCGAAATTTTATTGAACACTGCCAGTACTTTCTCACGGAGCAGAAACCTCCATGTGAAACCTGGAAACCTCCATGTGAAACCTCCATGTGAAACCTCCATGTGAAACCTCCATGTGAAACCTCGTAAGCCTCCATGTGAAACCTGGAGGCTTACGAAGAGGGTCCAGCTTAAATTGAGGAGGACGCAGCAAGCGATGGAACGGAAAATGATAGGTGTAACTTTAAGAGACAAGAAGAGAGCAGAGTGGGTATGGGAGTAAACGGGAATTAAGGATATCATGTTGAAATCAAAAAGAAATGGACATGGGCCGGGTGCATAGGCAGGATAACCGCTTGTCATTAATTGTTATTGACAGGATTCCCAGAGAAGGTACACGAAGGGGAGAAATGAAGTTAGGTGGGCTGATGAGATTATAAGGTTCGCAAATGTAACATGGCAGCAGAAAGCACAAGGCCGATTTGATTGGCGGATCATGGGAGAGGCCTTTGCCCTGCAGTGGGCGTAGTCTGGCTGATGACGATGATGGGGATGCCTTTATTGGCATATCTAACTGGTGCACATTTTATGTGTGCACATTTTTTATGTGTGCACATTTTATGGAGAATTTGAAACCATGTGAATGACTTTTTTTTCAACAGGAATAGAATGTTGATGTTTGAGCTGGCTGTGTTGCCCTTATGAGATGACGATAGTTGATATTGGATAGAAAAAGAAAATTATAAAGTAAGAGCTTCACTTTTAATGGTAACAGCAGGTGTAATCTTACTAGTATTTCTGTAACTCGAGCAAGCTTATTGGCAATAATGAAAGATTTTCATTCCATAACATGTTTTTGTGAAAAACGACCCCTGAACTTTTGACTGAAGGTACTGCTTCTGTCACAAAAGTGCCTTTTTGTCCATGGACTGCGTCCTTAAAATCAAAGTTCGTTGTTACTACTAAAGCAACCCCCCCCCCCCCCCCCCGCACACCCTATGTGTGTGCGTGCACAACTTCTGCCGTACGGCTCACGAAATGTGTTCCACAGCCAACACTGGCCGAAGAAGGGTGGTCGTTCAGCAGGATGTTCTCAATAATGTTCATAAGAACACTGGAACAGGCTATTATGTCCACGGTACGGTGCCAGACTTTGTGCAAGACTTACCATCGATTTCTCCGTGGGCTGCACTAGAGACGTCTGCATTTGCGACTGTCGCATCACAATCTGGAGAATGCTCTCGTGGTTTTTTTAGAAGTGGGCCGTTCGCTTACGCAAATGCTGTTTTGGTTTGGAGTGGTAAGAAGGCAAACCACCAAAAATTCTAGGTACTGGGTCTTCCACCAGTTTCGGTTGTTCTCGATGCAGCGAAACGATGTCTCCGTTCACTGCATCGATGTCCACATGACTATGTTCACACGTACTATGTCACTGTTGTCGAAATGTTTTTCACACTTGCGAGCGTACTTTGAGTCGAACGAAAATCCGGCAGTCCTGTCGCGAAATCCCACATTTCCACCTGTCGTGTTGCTCTGCGTTGGCTAGTAAACAACACAGAAACTTATTCGATGGTTTCCTTGTATCCAAAGTGACAGTGTGGTATGGAGCAGGTGTTGGTCATCGCTGTTAACCCGATACAACCTCGAAGAGCAAAAAAGGGCGGCGATCAGCACGACCACCATCACTCTGTGCCAACAGTCTGCTAATGGTGGCCAGTAGAGCAGCTGACCACAGAACACCTATGTACTACCGAGCCCGATTCCTCGTCCCCCTACTAGCTATGGCAGCAGCGCGGGGCGGAAAGTGCGGGTGGTACATGAGACTATCCCATTGAGTGACGCAGGAGTTCCATGACCAGAAAAAGTATTGAAAGACGGTGGGGGCACTCATACTATTTTTAATCATTGTTTTTGTTATAAGGAATACTACTATAATGCAACAAAGAACCTTGCTACTCTCATCGTCGAGAAGTGCGGCCACGTCCACTAGGGGGATGCGACAACTTATGCTGTGAAATAACTGCGTCCGTCACGTTGTTTATTTCCAGGCACACTTGCACATGTGTAGGTGAGTTGTTCTCTAGTCATTTAAGATGGCGCATGGCACAGGTGCTACTTCCACGAAGATAATGTGGCACGACGAATATACACAGACGCAAAAGTAGTAAATATACGTTGTACTACAAATCTGTAAATTGCCACTGCCATCATTTCCAAAGTACTTTTTGCTTTCTCATGTAACAGTGAACCGCCAAAATGACACTTCGCGAGTGTAAGTACACTGTCGCGGGATATGCGATCGTGTGACTTGCAGGGTGCATGCCATGTCTGAAAAGAAAACAAATAAATTGACAATGGTTTCTGGCATAAAAAGTTCTCTACAAGCGTTCATGAATGACAAAAAGAAGAGGTGCTTGCATGGTGACCACAAACTTCTTGTGAAGTCGATACACCATTTTGTTAAGTGTCTCTCATTCAAAGCATACACGTCTTTCCCAATTTACTTTCTTCAAATTCACTCTTTGTTAAGAAATCTTAAAAAAAAAAATCTTTTTTTCAGGACGTCAATGTTGACATTAAAGTCGAACAGAGTAGCCCTCCAACTACGCCACTTCCCGTAAGTGAAACACATTTTTTCGATTTGGTACTTGTTACACCCATCTAATAATATAGCACGTTAGGCTTCAGTTTCACATTAGAAGTTTTCAGTTGGAGATGGTTTTGGCAGAACTTGTGTAAGCTTGAGAAATTGGATTACAAAAGTGCACATTATATCAGGTGCTTCCTTTTGTTGTCATTCAAATTCATCTATTAGGCGACAGCTGGGTAGTATTGAGATAGTTGCACTTCTAAATGGATGGTTTTCAAGAAGTCAGGCTACATTCTTTATTATGTATTACTGAATGGAAAACGCTCTGAATATGCAGAAGTTACCTCAGGGGTCCCACAAGACTCTGTTCTGGGCCAGCTATTCTTTAAAATAATATTAATAATACCTCTGCAGAAATTTCTTATTCACGGTTGCTTGTGGTTGACTGTGTTGTGCACAAAAAAATTGCAGATCCTAGTGATTCATATGATCTTCAGAACGAGTTACCACTCAATCTTAACTTGTGTACCACACGAAAAATGAATTAAAATATTGCCAAGTGTGTACATCTTTCATTCAACAAAAAACAACAACAACTAAAGCATTTAATTTGCAATACTGCCTGAACAATGCACAACTGAAACAAGATAGTATGTATTAATACTTGCGTGGGCTACTATCATCTGAATGTTTGTGGAAACCTCAGATAGACATTCTCATAGCCAAAGCTGGTAAAGTTCTAAATTTAATTCAAAGAAATCGGAAGTGTTTGCATGTGAATTGAAAATGTGTGGCAGGCACCACTTGTGTCTCACCAATCTTACAATATGGTTGTGTCGTGACCACACTGAGGTAACCTATGCTGCTGCTGTGGAACGAAATTCCTAATCGTGCTGGCCTGGTTCGTTTTGAGACGGTGTGACAAGAGGGAGGGCTGCACTACATTGGTGGCTGATCTAGGATGGAGAAAAACTTCTGCATTAATGTAACTGGTGCTGCAAGATACTCCGCTGCTTTGACCCACTGGGCTGGGAGGCCATGCCCAGTGGCATTAATGCATAGTGCTGCACAAACTCATCCACTCAGTGAATGTAAAGCCGTTTCATGCTCCCAAGATAATTTTTAAGTCTTCGCTTTTCACAAGCTTTTGAGTTTTTTTTAATTTCAGGTAGTTTTTATTGACCGTCACATTTAATTTTCAGCATCAGCACAATGCTATTGCAGAGGGCAGCATTGACATGCATTTTTTTTTATCGTTGCAAGTAAATTTCACTATCTAAAAGCTTTACAGTATTTATTGCTTGGCACAAACCACTCCTCAATGTAGGGGTATGTTTTTTAACGCTGTATAAAAGATTGCTTGAACAATGAATATAGTTCAGCATAGTCGGGAACTTGTGCAAGCACCAGTGATTATGCTGGAATGTACAGGGATGAATCGATAATAGCCAATGCACCTTACTGCACAGCAAGTAATCAACGGTTTTCTTCACCGCTGACATCGTACTGCGAGTGTTGCTTTATACGGTGGGCATAACTTTATCCGAAGAAAAAAAAGTTCTCCACCAGTTAATGCGCCAATATCTGAAAATTACATGGAAGGAAACGACAGGTTGCTGGATAAATTCATTGGCCTTAGCCATTAAATTAGGATGCATTAGAAATGTAACTGCGAATGGAATTAAGGAAAAAGAGAGTATATTAATACTCCTTGTGTACTTTATAATGAATGCTTCTTCTCATCTACCCACTACTTGACACTGGTAGCAGAAATACCTTTTTACTTCTGCACAATACCTGCAGCCGCTCTGGCGATTGAAAACAGGTAAGGAAACGTTGAGGAAATTTGCATGGCAAGCCTTGTCATGTTGCCAGATAAGGTGGCAGTCAATGGGCATGGTGCAGTAAAAGCTCCTTACTGTAAGGCCAGGCATATGGAAGAATCATTATACTCTTTGCTAATTGTATAAAGCACAGTGTTAACAAACTCTACCTAAATAGAACCAATCTATTTGTGAACTGAATTTCAACAAAGCATCACTAGAAACTGCATCTATGTCATCAGTGTGTAGACAGAAGTCCGACACAGTCGTTCTATGGTGATTTTGTGAAATATGCTTCCACCAAGTGGCCAAAGGAAAGTCAGTGCAAATTGGAAAGGTGGAATTTGCGACTACACTGTACAGTAAAACGTCGTTAATTTGAAGTCACTGGAGCCGTGAGAAATCTTTGATTTAAGCGGGTTTTCGAATGAACAGAACAGACAAAAAGTGGGATTCAAGGAACTTGCAATTATTTGAAGTAATCAGGGCTGATAGTTTGCGGCTCCAAGAATTAAGTTTTCCCGCAATACCAAGTCATCATTTCACGGTAAACACAGAGGAATGGCGGGCCTCGCTGCTGCCATCGAAAATAATAAAATAAATAGCAAACGCTGTTGGGATCAACTGAAAAACACGCCTGCGGAAAACAAGGTGTGCTTCACTGCAACACAGTACTGACACGCGGGCAGCATGTCGCCTGCTCCTCGCTGCGTCAGCACGTCATGATGTGACCGTTCGCCCATTCTTTCTGGTAAAATAAAGAATTTATAATTACCATTATGACGAAATTCGCGCATGTTTAGGCTGGAAAACATGATCATTGAAGCGTTCGAATTTAGTTATCGAAGTAGGCATTGCAGGCAAGAGCTCTGCCAGCAGCGGAAGTGCGCAAATTCTTGGAGCCACCGGCAATTGGAAGCTCGCATGCATCATTAATTCTGCCAAATTATTCTTTATTAAATTTCTTAAATCCCAGAAAGAATGTGTAAATTATGGCGCGCTGACATAGAGAGAAACGTGCAGTATGTGTTCCAGTGAAGCATGTGCTGTTTTCCGCAGGCGCACGTTTTGAGTAAGCAAGAGATTTTTAATTTTTTTTGCTCCGGAAGTAGCAGGCTAGGGTGCTTCAGCTGCCACTCATTAGTATCGTTACATTGCTTTGCTTTGTGGCTCTTAAGTTCCATCATTTCCGTAGGTATGTGGCGAAATCGGGATGAGGAATTGGCACACGGCACCCAAAGTTTTTGAATGAACCTTTTTGACTTCATCGATGTAGTACTGATCGCCGCTTCAAATTATACACTCAGACTTACACTGCAAAATATGGGACTGTGAAAATATTTCTAATTAAGTGGTATATTGAAATAATGAGTTCAAATTAGTGATGTGTTACTGTATTTGAGAGGGAAGACATAGTCCTTGAGTGTATATGTATGTGTGTGTGTGTGTGTGTATATATATATATATATATATATATATATATATATATATATATATATATATATATATATTTCGGCATATATAACCATGCCTACATTTCTTTTAAAACTCAAGTCATAATTTAACGAATATTAAAGGAGCAGTGGCGCCAAATTTCAAACTTGAGATGTGACGTTCATTTGACTCCTTCGTATCCATGAGTCTTTTTGCGAAGCATGAATCGCGTTCGTTACATAGAAGTTCTTCTATTTCATGTGCAAAAAGCGTCCAAGGCTCATCGGCGCGTTCGTGGCCATGAGATATCGAGAGTATTTTGAGGTGTTCAGCAAGTTCCTAGGCCATGCTGCAGGCTTCCATTGTCGATGAGCGAGCAGCGATTACGTTGACAATACTATTAGTGTTGTCATTGCGGTGTCTACATGTGGCACCTTCTGGTGGCGACACATGGCTGCCTAGCATTGGCTTCACTTGCTTTGTTTTTCTTGGTCCATGTAGTGCGTTCGTGTGAATTCTGCAGTTTTTTTTGTGCCGCTTCGGGCGATTTGTTGTGTAGTCGTGGGCACCGATGTGATTATTTAAAGCTACGGTCATCATGAACAAGTGACACGCATGCAGCGTTCATGTCTTACCAGCCAGCGTGGCCCAAGCGTGCTTCTCCAGCTATCTCATCAGCGCACGATCCGGCTGTTAATTTCAGAATCGCTGCTCAGAGAAGCATTGAAACTAAAGTGATTTGCCACGCCATGAATCACCATGCTTCGATATTCCTCAGTCAGGGTGTCTACCAACCTGGAAAACCTGGAAAAGTCAGGGAATTTGTACCCTTCTGGAAAAGTCATGGAAAAGTCGGGGAATTTCCGAAAAACCTGGCCAAGTCATGGAAACTGACGGCAGTTCCACGTGACCGTCACAAAAATAAGCATTACCAGTGATCAAAGCTCAAAAAGTCTCTCTTTTAACTGAAAATACAGTGAGCTGCTAGAAGAGGTGTGAAAAAAAAAAAGATGGTGCATAACTGTTGCTTCTTAGTGTAAACGTGAAAGGATACACTGACCCATTGAACACAGAGTTTAGTGATGTTTTGGCACACGATATGGGAGGGAGCCTTGTTCACAATAAAAGCCGTAAGATTAAGTACGCCTAAATACGCAACAGTTAGCAGAGAAAGTACATTGTCAGAAGCGTACCTACTGCTCCTGTTCAGAGTATGTACAGTCATCTGAATGAATTCCAGGTGCAGGCATGATGCAAGCTTCTTTTAAATGTGGAGCATTTGATAATCGCACCTACTCATAAATCCGGCGTTGGCGGTGGTGTCTACACCCCTACTGCACATGCTCGTGTCTCTTGCCACATGCTCGCGTCTCAGGCCAACTGTCCTTAGCTTTCATGTTGATACATGCACTATTTTAAGGGGGCAGATTGGTCTTAGGCATTTTTTGTTTATTTTTTTAGTGATCTTGATCAAAATGCACAGGATTATGCAATTTTGTTCTATTGATTTCAAATATTTAATTAGTTTTTCTGTAACTCTTCTTGTTCCTGAGATAATTTAAATTCACTGCCCTATTATTTAAGGCTGCCATAATAAAAAAAGTGCTTAATCAAAAATGATATTCAAGATATGCCAAAATAGACTAATGACTATAGTGTGACAGTATGCAAGAGCTTTTTGTTTGTTTTTAGGCATTTCTTGGTTATTTTTACAGCAAAATGAACTATTCACTTTCAAAAGCAGTTGGAATTGCATCAAAATTTTGATTA